TTTTAAATTTTTTAATTCGTCATCGATGTATCCGTTATTTGAAAATACCAGATGCCTCATTGTGAAACTGAAGATTTAAAGAAATTACAATTTGTCTAATTAATTTCCAAAAACTATTTATGGCTCAACAGTAAATTATTTGTCTACAGGATATCCTCGATTTTCCTTACAAAGTTGAAGAATATCACATTTCCGTTTTCGCTTAAAAATGTTTTTCTTTCTCCCAGAAACATGCCCTTCCCAAAACACTCGCATTGCACGATCTCGAAAAAATCCTTTTCAAGGTTTAAACGGTATATAATTTGGTTTTAAACAATATTAGTTGTCATCAATGTTTGATTGGTTAAAAATGTCCACGAAATTTAGCAATTTACCACGTCTATGAGCTCATTTCAGATGAAATTTATGTTTACATTTGATTCTACCACATATTTGAGCTACATCTGAGTAATTCTAAGCCAACCTTTCGATTGCTTTACGAAATTTCCATGCCATTATGCAAAGTAACTTTTCAAATGTCTTCGACACTGCAGTTTATTTGTTTGAAAATTTTTCTACCGTAAGAAAATCGGAATTTACAATGGTTTTTAATTTTTCAGTCTTGAAACTTTTGCAACAATCTGCAATATTCCTGGAGCTTAGCAATGAGAGGTAAAAAGGCAACTAATGTCTTTACACCAACTTAATAATTTGTAATAGTTGGACCTATGGTAGAATTCGTAGAAAATTTTGGCCAGGTTCTCCAAGTCACATTGTAATGGATTTCCTTGATCTATCCGTCGATCAATTCGGAGCTTCAATATTTCCCCTGGCAAGCCCCCAGGCATTTGAACTTTTGAAGATTTGTTCGTTCAACCCCCCCCCCCCCTCCGGGGCCACAATTGTCTTCAAATCCAACACATAAGGGTGGGATTTGAAGGTCAATTTTTTCCTAAAAGGCAAAATTAGCGACCATGACTCTACTCATTCACCAAGCTTTCAAACTTGCACCTTTTATTCTGAGCCATTCGCTCGCAAAAGTGAACTCTTTACCTTTAAACACCTGAAAAACGTGTGTTTTGCTGGAGAGACTTGACACTTCCGATTCTTATTCCTTACCCCAGTCAGGCAAGGTTTAAACTCCTCACCCCCGGGCACATGCGACAGTCAAATACCCAGGGTTTACCCAGGGGGATGTTGAAGCTTCGAATTGACCGGCGCATGACATTGCAACGGATTGCCTTTATTTACCAACAAAACAACAAATTGAACAACTCACATTTAACTGATTTCTTTACTTCACTTCATTCGTTTCCTAGTCCCTGTTTCCAGTCCTTTTATTACGTAACAGTTTCCATTTCCGTCTCTCTATTCTGCAAATCCAATAAAGATGTTGATTATCGACATGACAAGCCAAATAAACCGAAAACAAACAAATAAGAAAGAAACAAAGAAAAAAAACACCATCAAGAGTCCGTTTATCTATTTCTTTTTCTTTTTCGTGAGATAAGCTGCGTGGTATGTTGCAAACTTGTACTACTGGTCTTGTTTGGGTGTTAGGGTCTTTATATGGCGTCGGCTGGAAGGATTATTCGAGAGGTCGTCTGTTGGAATAGGTCAGTGTTTTCTAAAGTGTCATTGGTGGTCTCGTTAGAGATACTCAACAAAAGTAACCAGACTAACAGAAGAACTACTGATGCCTTGGGACAGATATGAAACATATCTACTGAAGAAAAAAAAAAATATCTACCGAAGAAGACTGTCGCCGTCAAGTTCTTGAAACGTCCGTCTTTTTACTAGCAATAATTCTTTTCAGAGCTTCCCTTATCCCAACCATCAGACTAAAATCTCTTGAAAAATTATTGTGCTTGTTCAAAAAGTATATTACTTACGTTGAGACGGTGGTAAGGAGCTGTTCAGTGCTTAAAACTACTCTCAAAGGTAAAATTTCCGTACAGCCCCATACTTTATGCATTCAGTTCTTGAATAGAGAAAACAATGACAAAAACAATACATTGCCATTGGGAAAACAGATTTGTTTTACAATAGTATGGGGCTGTGCGGAAATTTTACCCTCTCAAAATATAGTAACTTATCTTTTGTTTTAACGTGATTCATGAAAAAATTACTTATACTTGTTCTACGACGCTTTTTAGATCCAAATACTAATTATGAAAATATTGTGGGTCTCATTGTTCATTGCTTACCCCTTTTGGTTGTCAATGTTTTTGCAATTGAGCGGATATTTGAATCCATGTTTGACTTCGCAGAGTTTACAGTCCATGTGATTCCCTCTTCCGCAGTCCTATAGACATTAACCAAAAAATATATATTCAGAATAGGGAATGAGAAGCTGTATTCATTTGTCGGTTTAAGTTAGTTATTCTTATGTATTTTTTATAAGCTGTGTTACACACTGAAACTAAGAGCACCGAAGCTCTTACCATAAAGCTGTGAAAACAAAACTCAATTGCAAGAGGAACAGTTATTTACTTGTTAGGTAACTAAATAAGTCCAGAGCACAAAGACGCAAGATACATGTATTGCTAAACTGTGAAGGACAAACAATTTTAAGACGAGATAAATTTTAATGAAGAAGTTTTTCATGTAACTTTCCAAAGATTTGATTGAAACAACATTTGAGAATAAGTAAAAAGAAAAGTACTAGAATTAAACACAACGACAAGTAAATAACCTATGAAAATTCTGCAAATGATTCATTTGAGAGACGTGTTTGGACGAGACCTTCGAAGAGGTCACCACATGACGAATTTCTTTCTCACCTCATGTGAAGCTACTGGTATTTTACAGAAGCCCGCTAGTATCTCCATATTTGGGCCTCTTAACCAGAGTTAAGGAAACAGTCGTAGTAGAAATCATACTTTTAGAAGTAGTCGAGCGCAGAATCCTGCAGAATACATCAAGTTTCTGTTCAAAGAAGCAAAACACTGTATAATTCCTTAAAACCACATGTCACACTGACCGAAGGTGTGAGACAAACATGAATGAATAATTAATTTTCAGAGACAGTTTTCATCTCGCCCTTTGCTCCCTGAATAAATCAATCACAACAAGTTCCGAGGGTTTCATATCTTCCCCAAGGCATTTTGGTAGGATTACATTTCAAAGTGAAGGAAGGAAGAGTTATTGTTTGAGGAGATATTTAAAAAATTGTTCAACAAGTTCCGAGGGTTCCATATTTTTGATAGAGTTACTATTTATAAACATTTGAAAAAGGTTTGTAGTTACCTATCATTTCCCCTTGAGGAAACCGCTCCCCCCCCCATGGGGTCTGGTAGGTAACTACAGAGGAGGGGTGAGAAGGGTCGGCGGAGTAAAGGGTGAGGGTTGTGGCTCGTAGCCATTTTTGTCTACAAAATTTAAGGCTTCTACGTATTTCAAACCAATATTTCCCGTTTTCAGTGCTCCAAAATGCGATCGCTTCGGTGAACCAATTCTCTGGTTGAAATTGGTGGAATTTGTTGTGAAATCTGTCACACGCTCCAAGATGACCATTTATCAAATACTTTTTACCCAATTGATAAGTTATGCAGTCCTAAATCAATGACTAATTGCGAAACTCTTTTACCCAACAATGATAGTAAATGCTTCAAGCCCCATGAGAGTGGCAAGGGGTTTACACGTGACGCGTGATGAAGGCCAAAATGGATGTGGTTCACATGAACGTTAGCTACTCCTCGTGTAGGGATGAGCTCTCCGTTGGCACTCTCCTTCCATGCAAATATAACCGAAGCGAGGAAACGCACCCTTTTAAAGTCAAGAACAGCGAGACAAAAGGGTTTTCAGCAATCATGATCGATCTTGTAGATTATATGAACCTAAAGTAAAATCGATAACGCCCTCCAGTCTCTCTCCTCTCTACGAGTGATACTGCCATTTTGTATTCTCTCGTTCATCACCAGTCTCCTTTCGCCAAAAACCCGGAAGGAACAACCCACAAGGAGAGCTGGAGTCCTAGACAACAACGGATGCAAATTTCCAAAATGGAATGAAACCGTCTAAAACCTGACGCTGGTGTCCAAAAATTGGACGAAGAAAGGAGAGTGAAATAGGTGGCGGAACTTTTCAAAACAGGGACGTAAGGGTCCGCAATAAGACGAAAGTGTCCAGTCAAACAGTCAGTCAATCAGTCGGTCAGTCGCTCAGTCGGTCAGAAAGTCAATCAGTCCGTGCTTGGTTAGATACTCCGTCAATCCGTCTTACAGATAGCCCAGCAACCAGTTCATCCATAGAAAATATAATCGGTCAATAATGCTAGCAACAGAGACTTTCTGCATGCCACCCATCATGTAGCGCAACTATCATTTCCTGAGCGCGAATTTACATGGTGCCGCAGGTAAAATGTCCCTTTTTCTTTGTTCAAATCAAGACATCCTCTTGCCCTAAGGTATCCTTAAGTAGATCTTTCCAAGAAACCTCCTTTCAAATTATTGGGACAATTCACATTAGCAAGTTGCTAAGCTAGCTAAAAAAATATCAAACACAAGGAAAAGATTATCACCCGAAAATCAGCGCAGTTTTTTAGGAGTTTCTCACATACCTCTTGATGATTGAACCATACATCTCAATATCCCCCTGAGGAACGCGTTCCCTTTCATTTGTTTCACGACCTTCGTTTCCATCCATCTTTCTTCTATATATCATCAAACGATGGTAGATATGTTTCAAAGACTAGAGATGTTTAGGTGCCCTTCATTTCCAGGTCTTCTACCAAAGCATGCTGTTATTTCCAAACAGAGCTCACTCAAGTCCGCCACTACTGTAGTTCAAAGCTATCCAACGGAGAATCACTACATCACTAGCGGATAATTGTTAACATATATTATTGAGCTATCCACCGGATGGCGACTAATTCAGTGGATAGCGTTATCCGTCCTTCGAACAACCGGGGCAAGGGAGGTCACTTTTCGTTCTCTCTTGTACATTAACTTTCGTGTTTCCTACGAAATATTTTAGAACGTCCGAAGGTTAAAAAAAACACGCAGATACTTTCAGGTATGTTTATTTTATAGCTTTACTAAAGTTAAGAAGACAAACGTTTAAGTAATCTAGACTGCAACAGTAATTCTCTCAACAATATTTCTTATATTTTCTGTGAAGTTAGTTGTGAGAATTTATAATATTATCAGAACAGTGTTTCCAGTGATGTGGTCATATACATCGATTACTAAATATCCCATTCAAAACCGCTGGAGGCAGTTTGAGTTGGTGATGTTTTCGAATTTTGTTTTGTATTGCTGTGGGCGTTTTCAGTTATATTGAATGTTAAATCACGTATTTAACAAGTAAACAAGCAGTTTCTAACGCAAAAACTGTCCAAGGAAAAGTAAACTACTAGCAAACAGCAGATGAACAAACAATATTTGCTCCGTAAAACAACGATCCAGTTAAAACAATACCGGGAATACTGATCTTTCTCGTATGGCAAACAACGTTATGTTCACCGTCTGCCTCATCACTAAGTCGCACAGGTTCAGCAGTAACTTCTTGTCAGTTGGCTTGCCTTTATGACGTGAGGAGTATGAAAAAACGGTGCTGGTATTACGATGTACGCTACAAGCTTCGACACCACAGCCTGTGTAAAATGTTTTTGAAAAGAGACAAGACCTCCTGGAAAAACTGAGTACGCATACATGACGTACTCAAAGGGTGATGGTTGGTAGCAGCTGCTATCTTCTTCCTCCCCGCCCTCTCCTCCCTCCTCGTGGCTTTCCTCTCCCTCTCATAGAACCATCGGCTTCGGATCCAAAATCGCCCCAGGGTCCATCGTCCATACGTTCATCTGGTCCTCTCCAACCGTCCGGTGGACCTTGATCTATAGAAGAAGAAAAGAACATTTCCTATCTTTTCTAAGAAAGAAAAGCACTCTAGCAAAGCAAGGTACGTTTCAGATTACAAATGTCAAGTAAGCGAGACAAAAAAATTATGTCAATTAAGACGCAAGCTGAGGTACGACATGTTTGTCTTCAGATCACTTTGACACGTATCGTAACAAACCACAATAGAATGTCTAGTTAATTAAACTTTTGTGTCTCAGAAATAAAATGCAAATGTATTAAAGCAACTTGAAACACCAGGCGAGGGCTATACCCTTGATGTATGGGATCAGCTTATCCGAAAATGACTCAGTGCAAAACGACACTCCTTACGTTGAAACGTAAATCACTAACTATACACGGCGTGCCACGAACGACGCTGTAGTCGAGAAAAAAACCTCAATTGTCAAGTCAGTAATTAATGAAATGATCCTCCGCCTTTTCGCTTTTCTTCCTTTTGGTTATTCAATAATTATTTAAATATGGTTCCAGCTTTTAGATATCCATCTAATTCGAAAAAGTCCTCCCAGAATGCCGAGACCTCATGAAAATATTCAGTTCGAGACCACCCTAAGCGAGTTTACGCCAACAAAATGCAATGCCGGTTTACTTTCCACATTAAGTTTAAACGCGCTTTAAAAGCCAGCTGCTGAACACATAAACTGTCCATAATCACACTATATAACTGTTAAACGAAACGCAACTCGAATGAATCACCCTAAACATCTTTAACTACTCAGAACCAACATAACCCTTCGCCAAAACAGCAAGCCAAAGCACTAAAAAATCAACACGAGTTGTGAGACCGATGATCTCTCACCTGGGCCCCTTCTCCACTCGTCCTCCGGTCGCAAGGCCTTGGGAGGTCCCCTATCACGATCGTCCCTGAATCCTTCTTGGTCCAGGGACCGCTTCCTGCCCCGTCTGTCTGGAGGTCCTTTCCACGAGTCTTCCCCAAGACCAAGATCGAAATCAAATCCCTGCTGTCCGAGAGGCAAAGGCGGAGGACTGAGACTCATCAGCGGCCGTATGGCTGGTTTATTCTCATTTGCGTTAGAGGGGTTTTGATCTGGTCTTGATGGGGGCCCTCCAGGTCCCCTCATCATGCGGGGATCCCGAGGCTCATCTCGCTGTTGTACACGGGGGTCGTGCGGGGATCCCCAGCTATCTCGTCGGCTAAAAAGACCTAAAGGAAAAAGCGTTAAATTCACAACTAACATTACGAACATAGGTATGGTTGAAAAGTAAGAATTCGCACACACTCGAGAGACACTTCTACCGGTCACTTCATCCACTGAAACCTGGATAAGCTCTGAAGGGTAGAGGAGGGAGCTTCTACTCTGTTATCTGATTTGGCCTATTTTTTCAAACTCGTCCATCCAACCACCTACTCAGTACAGGAACCAGACGCTGATTTTATCAACGACTTTCTGTTGTAAATGAACCTTGCACTCGTTGCAGATTCAAAGACAAAAACTCAGTCACTAAACATTATAACAGTCAGAAACACTTCTAACCAGGTGGCTCATCGGGGCCCCTGCCCTGTGGGGGCTCATCTGAAGGGGCTGCCCATCTGGGATCCCTATTTTCGTGCATTCCTTGAACACCGCTCTTAAAACCTCTTGAACTAAGTTTGCTAAGGAATGGATGACTTTGTGGATGAGGGAAGCTTTTTTGATTTGGCCCTTCCATATCAGAGCCATGACGAGGTGGCGAGTCATGCCCCCGTCCTCGCTGAGCACCTCTCCTGAAGCCCCTCGAACTGATGTCATGTGGATGAGGCCTGCGTGGATCACTCATATCAAATCTCGGTGACAGCTCGTTTCTGTCTCCTTCACGTTCATTAGGGTGTGGTCGCCAAGATCCTTGGTCTTGTCTGGGGTCCTTGTTGGGTCCAGGACCTGTACCCATTTAAAAGGAACAAAATAAATAAACAGAAACGATGTAATCATTCGATGGTAAATCCATTGCCTTAGCAAGTGTGCTGTTAGCGTTATTGTTTGTCTTTGAAGAGTCAATGACAAATAGATGAATGTGGAGAATTACCAAATTAATCACGAGACTACGGCATAGACCACACAAATGCAATTAATTCATCCTTTCAAAAGCGCTCTATGGAGTTTTATGTGTGATTGCATGCATGGATGAGAAATGGTCACGTCACGCTTGTACGCTCAGCATGTCTGCGCTCAAGATACCACATTTGGAAGGTATTTGCCACGACCCGTGTATGATTAACACTTGATGGCTCAAAAACTGGTTAATTCCCATGCTCGCATCGAGAATAGGACAAAATTTTTAGTTGTGCCCAACAAAATTCAAAACTATAGATTGCTCTGCTACACCAATTTATTATCTACGAAGAACTGCTACTTTTCCGCGAAAGGAACAATCCTGCCAATGTACCTAGACGTGGGAAGTCATTTCCTGTTGGTCCTGCTGTGCCTGCTGGAGGTCCATTAGGCCCCTGCAGGAGTGGTTTGGGCTGCTGTGGTGGTGGAGCTCCAAGTAATCCAGGCCTTGAGTCCATCTCAAGATTCTTAGGAGGTGATCCTAGGAGTCCTTGCCTGTCAGACATTGGACTGTGAAACCTGTCGCCAGGAGGCCCTCTAAAATTTGGTCCACCCTCATCGGGCCTGAAGTCCCTACCATGGTGTCCAAAATCATTAGGGCCCTGCTCACGCCAATCAGGAGCACCTCTGGGCTCTTCCCAAGACTCTCTTCCAGGTTTCCCAATATCAAAGTCCCCTCTGGGTCTACCAGGAGGAAACTGAGAATGATTCCCTTGAGGTCCATCAATTAGTCTTGGATCTTTCTCTGGTTGGAAGTTGTTGTGTTGTTGTAAATGTCTTTGGGGAGCCGGTGGTTCAAATGGCCCCATGTGGTTCCTTTCTCCAGGCCTTGCAGGCTTGAAAGCCGGCGCATCTGGCCTTAAAGATGAATTTCCATTTTCAACAGCTGGGGTTATTTCTCCCAGGCCTGGAATCCCTGGACTATTTTTGAAGTTTGGTAAAGTGAACCCGGGATTCTGTGATTCTACCTGCCGTGGTCGGGTAGGGGTGGCCCTGTTTGTTAGTGAATTACCAGGGCCGAATGAAGGACCTGCAACAGGAAAAAAAAACAACACTATAAGGAAATTCTGCAGGTAAGTGATAGGTGATGACCTGATAATATTTTTCAATTGGCTAATGATAGAAGATAAATAGATTGATTAAATCATTAAATTTAATCAATATATTTATCTTCTATCATTAGCCAATTGAAAAATAGTGAATAAGTGGCGTATATCAAAAAGTAAGGTGGTGGCATTAGACTTGCCAGAGTATCAATTTTTCTCTTTCCTGTCGGAACAGTTTTAAGTCCAAGGATGACCCTTGACATACTCAACATTTTTACAATACCTCCGTGATAGATACTAAAGTAGCCAGTTACTTATTACTCTCAGTGGAACTTTGATGTCTTCCGAAGAAGAGAACACATGTGCACCACCCTTAATAACCAACCTTTTTCTCCCAAATTGTATCGGTCAATATCTGGAACATCCTCAGTTGGGTTCAATGCTGTGTCCATTCCTGGAATGGCTGTAGTTGTAATACCTGGGTGGTCTCCATCTGTGGAGATAATATCATAGAAATATTAGTCTATTTTTTCAGAAAGAATGTTTGACAGTAAGAAATATTTGATCCGACCTTCTCCCCAACTCATAAATCTGAGTTTATATTTTTGTGCATTTCTAAGCCAAATAAATGTTGAATTCCACAGAGGAGAAATTTGAATTATTGCAAGACAGAATTAGCCTGTTAAATTTGTCAGTAGTTTTGCTTTCAAATATTTTAGGTCATAGGATTTTAACATGCACACCAAGAAGTAGTGGAATATACTATGTAGTTAACCCTTTAGCACACAGGAGTGATCACAACAGAATTTCTTCTCACAATATAAATACAATATCAAGTAGACAAGTAACAAGAAATTTTAAAATATCAATTAGGGGGTAGTTAAATGTAGTTGATCCAATAACAAACCTCCAAAATGACATCACTAGAATTGTATGGCCGACAGTAAGGAGAATTATTATTGAGATCTTTGTAGTGAAAGACTAAGAATTAGAAAGGTCCACTTTGTAAATTTGTGAATAGTCATTTATGAAAACCCCAGATGAAGGGATAAAGAAAGCTAAATAACACAACAACCAGAATATACACACACATCAATGAGAACAAGAAAAGAGAACTGCCTGCAAGTAGGACATATGTCAAAAAAGGGGCATGAAATATCACAATGAACCTTCATTTGTCATCTCTTTTAATTAAACACAAATGAGTAAAGCACAAATAATTTACATTTCCAGTTTCTTTTGGCCATTTCTAATGTTGTTGCTTAAAACAAACAGACAAATACATTGAACTCACCAACATCATCTTCAGCGTCCACAATGTTTAGATTGTATTTGTCTCTCATTTTGTCACCAAGTCGATTCCGTGTCCAGAATTTACTATGGGGTGATACAAGATAAATGAAGAGTGAGTTGAGGTTATCTCACAAAATTAATTTTTAGTGTTTTGGACATAACAAAGATGCTTTAATTTCTTGATGATCAGAGTAATCAAAATAGCACTTTTAGTTTTACATTGTTTTTTCTAGTTTCCCCAATTACAACCATCCCAAAAGTAATGCTAGGCTGAATTTCAGACAAGATATTAAGAACCGCCTAAACACCACAACAGACAGAGGCTTGTTTTGGGACCATACAGTTTATTTAATGTATATTTCCTATGCAAATTTCACATAAGACTATTACAAAAAGGATATTTGATGAATACACTAAATCAACAGTCTAGTAGTCATAAATAAATTAAAAACACAAATGAAATTAAGAAACAATCAAAACTGTTGATGGTGTGAGTGGGAGGGAAACTAAAACTTTCTTAGAAGCTAGAAATAACTTGTTGCTTGCTTGCTTACTTGATTACTAATAACATGTGTACAGATACCTAAGCTGTATTATACTAAGTAATTTTGCAATTAAAATGCACAAGGGTGGTGCAGAGCCATTAACACTATCCAAGTTTTTTAATTGCTTGCTGAACAAAATGCTCAATCTTAAGGAAAAGTCTAATATGTACCCTGCCTGTACCCAGTCCAGACCTCTCAGTTATCAATGTCTAGATTCATATTAATAGAGATTAATATTCAATATAAGCAACAGAAAACAATGGGGGCCTGAGGGAAGGGAGGAAAAGAAAAACTCTATTTATACTGTCTTCGTGTCTTCATGAAGAACAAATTAACAGAGATACAGAGTCAGTTTTAACTATAGCTAAATGGAGACTTTCATTCTACAAGAGCCCCTTCCCAGTCCTCTACATCTCAAGATGTCAACATTCAACTGGCTTGAAATTTGTTACACTCCACCTTGTCTTACCTGGAGTGATCATTAGATCCTGAACACAGGATGTGTCCCAATGGGTGCCATGCTAAACTCCACACCATTCCCTCATGAGCCATCTCCATGTTTCCAACATCTTTCTCAGCCCTAAATCAAACAATGACAATCTCCAATTGTTTCAAATCTATACTTAAAAAAGTAGGAAATATCAAAATCAGGGTAAAGGCACTGAATGAAAAGAGAAGGTTAATATGTTCAGGGACAGACCCAGGATTTTTCTCTGGAGAGGGTGCACCTCTATGGAACAACAAAATTGATGAGTTGCAAAACAAATTTTAAAAGCAAACAACCAACAAGGTTTGTAACAAGGCAGTAACATATTGTGTAATGCTAGGAATACATAGCAAACCATACCATAGATTTTGTATAACCTTGAAGTAGACTGCACAATGTTTATTGTAAACATACCATTTTGGTTAACATAAATTTGCCAACCTTGTCTCATGTTTTACTTCAATACAAATAAACCAAAAATTATTTTTTCTTTGGCAAAATTGGTTATATCAAAAAATTATATCAAATCAAAATTATATCAAAATTATATCAATTGGTTATATCAAAAAGCCAAAGGTCCTCTCAGAGGGGATGGGGGATGTGCACCCCCAGATCCCTCCACTACATCCATCCCTGAAGGTGGTCCTCTTTCCAGTTTCAAGCCAACTTACCCAACAACCCAAAACATCATTGAACCATCAGAACCACCACTGACAAACAGAGATTCATGAACAGGATGCCAGCTGATTGCTACAAAAGATGAAATTATCTTGTTATTGAGAATCTAAAACATGCGATACTTCTCAGTCTCATTCGCCTGGAAAATTAATGAAGGAACAATAGAAGTGGGAGGGTAAGGACTTGGAATCCTGCAATAGCAACTTCTAGATTTAACTTTGTGAATCCTTTAAAATATCAAGCTTGTATTTTCAAATTATTTCAAAGCACATATTAGATCCATAACTTGGTACCTTTCAACAGTGAGAGGTGAATGGCAATTGCAGCTCTCATTACACCAGAGTGGCTCATTTTCAGAGTGGGTGCAAAAATTATTTCTATTGATTACATTGTTTAAATGATAAATTAAATCCTACTTGTATTCACAATACTTCCACAAACTCTTTACAACATGTTCTGTACAAGTGTGTCTGCAACTCCTTTAAGCCATTCATTCTCAAGATCTAATTTGTGATTCATGTTACCATTTGCCATACAATCCTTAAGATTTTAGTCTGAGAATTTGGTACTGGATCAAGTAATAATCCCCTAATCAATATTCATCTTTATTCTATTTCAAATGTTACCAAAAAATCACTGTGTAGGGAAAGGGGTTTGGATGCCTTCTGGACAAGCATGAAATAACAAAAGATAGCAGGAGGTCTGTATGGAAAAAAAACAACAGTACTCAAGACCAAGGCCACAGTCTTTTCCCCCTATGGATCAACCTAGACTGGTCCAATGTCCCAGAGAAATGCTTAAAAAACATAAAATGAATTATTTCAAAGGTCACATTATTTCTACCTGTGGCTTCCCTCTTGTGGCCTCTGAATGTTTGCATTTCTTTCATCATTCGAATGTCAAACAACTTTAAGAGATGATCGCGCGAAGCAGTTAATAACCAGTTGCCATTCTGATTCCATCTGATTTGCATTACTGTACTCTTGTGAGCATGTCTTGGGAAAAAATTACCCAAAATCATCAGAGGAAAGTTACATAGCATATACAAGAAAAAATGTAAAGTTTAATAGGGTATTTAACTGATAATCTTTTAACTACTTGGCAATTTTCCATGATGCTTAATTCTGGTCTATGTTGAGTTTCTGTTGGGAACATCCCTACATGCCTCTGTTCAAAGAAAAAATTACCATAAATTGGTAACTAAAAGGATCACAAAAAGAGTATCAGTACCCTTGTTTTGCTTGAGCCTTTTCTTTTGTAAATGATCAAACTTACAGAGTTGTCAGTGCATATCCAGTGCGGGGGTCCCACAGTTTGATTGGCTGCTGACTGTCCTTACTGCCAGACACTACAAGACTCTTGGTTGGATGCCAGTCTACACATTTAACATCAGCTCCATGTCCTGAAGAAATGGTTGATATGTTGAACATTACTACTGGTTAACCCACTGTCTCCTTGGAGTAACTAGCATCTAATTTCTCCTTACAATATCAGCCAAATCAAACATTTACTGAGGTCATTATAATAAAGGAGATGATTATCAACTAAAGAAGCTCTTGATTATTAACACAAGTGTCATTGTCAGCACTATAGGAAATGCATAGAGAACAGTATGAAGAATATACGTACTGATTTTAGGGTGTAAAGGGTTAAGATTCTTGTTGACAGTTTTATCAAGCTAACATTAATAGGAAAAAAAAGGTTGCCATATGGCCCTGGTGTGGGGAAAAATAAGGGGAAAGTTATAATATATCTGGAGTATTTCTTGAAGTTCATAATTGGAAAAAATGATCATCTGTAAAAAACAAGGTTTGAACATGTCTCCTCTTACCAAAAAATAAAAGCTACTAGTGAAGAATCTGAGAAGTATAATAATTTTATTTACTTGCACTCTCTCAGGTTTGTTTAGTTTTTTTTTTTAAGGGACAGTAGCACTTTTTCAAATTTAGATCTCAAGCTCCTACAGTGTGATTTCCACCACCACCCCTTCTGAAAACCTCTGCAATCCCATACTTCATCCGATATATTGACTCAACCTCCCTAGCTCTTTAACTTCAAAGATCTGATTGTTAATTCTCCCATCTAGCTGCAACACATTTGCATGTTAATTAGTTACCAGAATGTGGTGCTAGATCAAGATAACAACTCCTACCTGCAGTTATCGATAAGTTTGAATATTCTGTTCAATTTTTTGTTGGATAATGTATGGATATCATAGGGGGAAGTTACCTATTAATCACATCTAAGAGTTTAGGGATTACAAGATTAGGACAAAACATCCTTGAGAATGTTACCTCTCAGTACTCTTTCTTCTGAACAGCGGTAAAAATCCCATATCTTCACTAAACCATCATCTGAACATGAGGCAAACTTCTGATCAGTTGGAGAGAAGCTGAAAGGGGAGCAAATCAGTCAACCTCACATAGGAACGTGTATGAATGACATGACAGCAAACATGTAATGGTAAGAGGACTAATTGGAGTCCAATTCTGTCTGTAATGATACAAGTGATAACAAAATAGGATGACTGTAAAGGGGGAGTCTGATTTGTTTACAGCAAGTATGATTACAGACTGAATTAGACGTCAAAAAGTCTTATTACCAATTGATCATAAAATTACAATTTCTGAGAAAAGAAGAATAGCCAAGTTATAACAGAAAGAGGAAATTTGCATCAGAAGACTGACAAAGGATGCAGAAATAGGAGTCTTTTAAATACAACTTTGAATGTGATTGGTTGATTTAAACTACAACTTTGAATGTGATTAGCTTATTGAACCTTCTGATAACAAAATGTCCAATAACAAATTGTCCAATAAGTGGAAAATAGGAGTTTTTCAAATAAATCACAATTGAGGAAATTGTAATTCTTATGATTAAGATGGAAAATAAAAATAACACTAGCTACACTTTAAGAGGCTATTCTCATTTTATGCTAAGATGCAATTATTAAAGAAAAAGTATCATCCAGAAACTGCATATATCTCTGCCTTACAAAGTTTGTGTGAAATTATCATACAACTAGCATTTTCAGATTCAAAAGAGTAATCCAACCTTTAAAAGCTTGTCTTTCATTCTATTCAAAATTTCTACTTGATATGTTGTGATTTTATATGCTGCCTTGTACCTTGGCTGCTTATCGGCAACGTTGAGAAGTCTCACACCTCTAGCAATGTTTGCACAGTTAAGAGCTACTGTATATTAAAGGCATTTTTTATCTAAAAAAATATAAGAATTTACAGTAACCAAAGCAGCAGATGTTTCTGAACTACCAGCTTTGGTTTCCATCATTTGGTGCATGATCAGAAAGGTTTCTCAGTTGTTTTCATGTCAGTGTTCAAGGTCTAGATAAAAGCACATTCGCAAATGATTTTTCAGGGAGTTAGCTTAGCTACTATTGGCACTCAAAATGCAGTAAGAAGGAAAATATCAGTATAACCTTTAAGTCAATATTAAGTTTTATTATATAGCTGGCAGTGCCCTGATCAAAATGGAGCGAAATCTGTGTTTAGATTGACTACACAATCTTGCTCACTTGTAAGTACCCACTTTCATTCAGCGCAAGGGAAAAATTGAGCCAGCAGACTTATAGAGTTTGTAATTTAGCAGCTTTCTCATATAATTAGACTGAGATTTTGACATTTGATGTCATTGTAAGCCTATCAAATCATATCACTTTTCAATTTGTGAAATGAGAAACAAGCACATGGCATCACAGTTGGCTTCCTTTCACAGAGCTCAAAAATAGACAAGTCATTCCTCACTCTCAATAAACCAAATCTTTTTGCAGTACAATAAATCCTCTGCTGACCAAGCTTGTCCGGGTCAAGATGGTTGGACATTAACTTTGTCCTTTTTTTGTCTTTATACTGATCTCAATTTTGTCTTGGTCCATAAATACGCAAAAAAAGAGAGCCTTTATCCAGCCATCATATGGTCCTTTGAGCATACTTCTCTTTTGTGTCTTTTTTTGCTTTTAAATCTAAAGTTTGAAAACTAGGAACTCCATGCAACAATCAGCTAGCATTATGTACAGGACTGAGAAGTAACACACACTCAAAAAAAATTAATAAAATATTTTTTCCTTCAATAAACATGTTCTTATGATGAAGAATAAGAAAATGCTTACACAAGTTTACCACAGGGAAAACCTGATCAGAGAACTGAGAGAGATACAAGGCATTAACCACTATGTATTCCATTTAGTTCTCTAAACTCAATAGAAAAGCAAGTTGAAAGGAAACTGGATTCTTATTTCAAGGGGTGTAGGCCACAATTAAGAAGGGATAGTCTTGAGTGCATGCAACTGGTTTTAGATGAATTTTGAATGAAAAACACCCTGGTATGCTCTTAAATTCCAATAAGATGCTGACCAAAGGTTTACTCATGTTACAGTGTCTTGATCAATGTTGTAATGAAAAAATTAGGAAAGGAAAAGGTAATACATCTGGGATGGAAAAGAAGGCATCACTTTACAGGACAACATTAAATTGAAATTTGCAACTCAACAGGACATAGCAACTTTCATCCACAAGCAAAGATTAATTTAGGGGAAAAAATGGTGGAATCTAATGGTCTTAAGTTATATTCTCATATGCATACTTTTCTCCTGTGCAGATGGAAAAAACTTTTGTTAAGTACTGAGCAAGAAGGAAAAGGGTGGCAATGGATTGACAACTGAATATCCATGATTTTTAGAATTGGTGTAAAAAAGTTTAAAAAAAAAACCTAGCCCTTTCCTCTATGTCCTTGTTTCATTTGTAACTGTAAAGTAACTCCAAACACAATTCTCCACTCTTTTGTACAAAATCAAACACAGCAGCATAGCATACATTTGTTCTGAATGAGGAATATCACAAGTTGTTTTAAGGAAATTATCAATTCTCCAGATCCACACCAGGCAGATACACCTTTGACACCTGGGCAAATTTCTATGTCATTGATTCATACTGCTCTGGTCCTAACAGCACAGATTATAGATAACTAAATTTTTCAATCCCTCTCCCCCCCCAGATGAGGAAAAGACACCAGTCTGAACTGTTAGTGGGGAGTAGCACTAGCTCTTCACTGGAGTTCATAGGTGTAGAGAGTATGAAATCAAGATGAAATGTTTTCTTTCCAGAAAAACTGGGGACAAGGTTCAAAACAAGGTCCACTTTCAAAGGAAATTTCTTTGGGACAAGTTCCAGACTTAAACTGAGCCCTGGACCAGATTTGGAAAGTGACCAATTAAGTTATTCCAATTAACTAATTCCTACTTGAGTGTTAACCAAAAAATAAAAACCCAAATAATTCACCAGGAGGCAGGCTGGGTACCAATGCCATTTAAAAGAAGGGAATAGGACTTTGACTCAGTCTCACAGATTGCATGTTCAGTGCATTAGACACTCCCCTATGATGCTTCACCGAATCCCCAACACTATACTATGAAAATCTTCTCAGACTCCTTTAGATGGTATTACTTTCAAGCAAAATTGTTCTTTCATTGATGATTGGATTGGAAGTTTGGTTTAAGCTGTCTACCCTTCCCAGTCCCTTGGAGCTCTTGAAAATGGGTGGGGAACATGGAGAGCCATCCTTGATGGTATAAAACACTACATGCTCCATGCACCAACCAATGAATGATCTAATGTACTATTTCTTATCCTGCTTTAAGGAAATTCATGCTGCACTGATATTCCAGGTCAAGACAAATCTGAACAGGGATAGGTTGATAGCACATTGTCAAATGATTGCTTGCACTGTTGATCCCTGTCCAAGTCTGAAAGTCAGTGACCTTTAATTCCTTGGTAGAAATACCCAGTAATGTGGAAAGATGTGAGCAAAGCATCAATTTGAATTTTGCGTGCAATTAGTAGAGAGTTTGAGTAAGTTTTCTTGACCATTAACAGGGGTAAGTGAAATAAAGTGTAGCTTAATTTTGATGAAAAATTAAGAAAACTTGCATTATCTAACAATAGGTGATCCATCAACCTGCACTTACCTTAAATCTAACAAACCAAACACAGTTGTGAAAAGGGGGATAATGCTTACTCAAGGGATAAATCACTATCCAGCAGATTTAAGTGTAAATAAATATCCTGTGCCATTCACCAGATGGAGATTTGTTCAGCAAATAGCATTATCAACCCTTCCAACAACCAAGTTCTGGGCTATGATGGGAGCTTACGTTTACTGAGACACAGCCATAAGTACCATTTCTACTTGTGGCTGCCTTACCAAATCCTGTTAAACTTCCATAAAACTCTGTGTTTACAGAGTTTGTATGGTAGAGAGTTTAAATTAAGCTCTACATATCTGCATGGTTCCTGACCATTGACCAGTCTTAAAGTTAATCAAGCTTTTTATAACAATATTTTTATAGAGCCAAAAAATAAGTTATGGGGGGCAGAAACCAACGAGTGCCAGGTAAGACTTTTTTCTCTAATTTTCTCAGGGCAAACTGTAAATTCTCCACACTCCAGTAATTTCCTCTACTTAGTGCTTGTCCACAGAAACAAATTTGCAGTCAATTTTGCACTATTTCCTGGTGGCCAACATAACACACACAAAAAAGCAACTTCTGACAGATATGTGGTAAGGACAAAGTAAGGAAAACATCAAAGATAGTGCATTCTAATTTTTTTTTTCAACAACTGACAATTCTGATTGTAATTTTTTACCATTGTGTTCAAAAAAAAAAAATCCGAATCTCTTGCATTTTCAAATCACATGCATGTTGTTAACTGTGAAAAGCAATGCAAGCAAGTTGATGACAAATCAAAGTTTGATAAAACCACATACAGAAAAAATTACCACCTTCAACATCTACCTAGCATGTTGACATAAATCAATTTGTTTCAAACTGCTACAGCAAGTGTGCATCACTAACGCCATCATCCTTTGAGGCTGCATTAGTTGAAAAGCCTCAACATGGTTTTTTTCTTTCCATCCATGTTGAACACTACCTAAACATTCAAAAAGTGCTTTGTCTGATGGAAAAGAATTGTAATGGATTTCAAGTATCTGTATTAAAATAGGAACAGTGGAGCAAGCCCCAATCATGGAAAAATCTGGGTAATTGAGGTCTGGATAATCAAGTCATAATTGTACCACACTCATCACAAAATTACAAGTTATTTTTTAAACTTGGAATGGCTAACCAGTGCACAACCATAAAGGCTTCCAAAGATGGAAAGTGAAAGTGCCATCTTACCTCAAATTTTGCAATGATAGGTTTGTTTTGGCTTCCTCATTTAGAGACAATACTAAAAACAGAGGTGCATGGGATATCTTGATTTTCATCTAATATGTCAGAAAAGTGTACATTAAAACTTTTCATCAAGTATTGGAAATTAATCCTTGGTTCTTGTTTTAATAATTTTGTAGAGAAAATTTCATTTTTGCAGACAAACCTTTCATAAAGTGAGAATATCAGAGCCTCAACGAGCTTAATCATTTCAAAGAAAAAAATTTCACAAAGGGAAAAAAAGCAGCCTTGGAAATTTTATGTTTCTCAAATGGTAGTAGACCTGGCTGAAAATGCCTAACCAGATAGAGATTCTGATGTGATAATATTGTACTTGAGCTCACAGCTACAATTTTGAAAATCAATAGTGTGGTTTTCTAGGCAAGGGTTTTCCTGGAGGGGTTATTGTTAGGAATGAGCTGCTGACAACAAATATACATCATTTCACTATTAAAGGATTCAGCAGGAAGTTGTGGGAATGCTGATTGTTAGCTCGAACTGGATGAATGGTCAACCAGTACAAAGCATACTAATCTGATCAAGCTATTAGTAACATGTCAAAAACATGTTGATGATCAAAGTTGACAACTTTAAAGCTCTTGTGATTCCTATGTGATTATAACTGTTTCAAAATCTAAGGTTTAAGGATCTTGTATGGCAGTAAATTTATTGATTGCTTTTATTTCCTCTTGAAATGAATTATCTTGTGAGCTGCACTTTCTTTATTCAAATCAGATGTATTTATTTCTTTATTTATCAAATACTAATAACCTAAACAAAAATAATTATGCTTAAGCCATACTCTTCTTTTAATGAAGCTTAAGCATCTCTAAAAATATGATGATACCACCAAAATTGTTGTTTACTGTAGTATATTCTGCAGGACACTGTTTGCAAAATCCCAGCTAAATAAACCAATTGATAATTTTAAAAAATTGGTAAATACAGTGTATGCAATTTTTTTTTAATCAAAATCACTGAGAAATATTTTTTCAAACAATGTCCTGCAATACTCTTTATTACCCTTTTATAATTTCACCTCTGTACTCTCAGAGATTATTGCAGGGGGAAAAGATATTTCATCTAGCTCTCAAAAACTTTTATAATTTGTACTATACAGAAAAGAACAGCTCTTAAAAACTGTCCATCACGTTCCTGGAGTTGATGTCTAACCTTAATCCTCTTATGGGTTCTTTGTGCGCCTCATACATTTTCACATTATTCATGTTGGACTGCCAGTACTTGATAAATCCACCATGATCTGATGATAGCAACCAGTTATCTGCATGGCTCCACACCATTGAACGTACAGGGCTGTCATGAGCCTATAGGAAAATTGACAAACAAAGCATACATGCACTGGTAATACAAACAGTATTGGGGAAAAAAAAGAAACTTGAAAATTCTGCAATCCAATTCCAATCTTAACACCCACATGCACTACAGTCAAACCTCTGTATGCTTTTTCTTCCTGAAGCTATTGCCTGTCATGTAAGACCAGTATTCCACCAGCCAAAGGTTTTACAGGTTGAATCAGTATTACAGGTAGATCTTGTAAGGACCCAAAACCACTTTAACCCTTTCAATCCACAGATCTCCTGAGTAATTCTCCTTATTGTTTACCATACAATCCTTAAGATGTTAGTTTGGAGAATTTCATGTTGGATCAACTAAGAATCCCTCAATTAATATTTTTCTTCAAATTTTCAACCCTTTTTCACTTTAAAAAACTAGTTACTGCACCTTCCTTAGGTACATATATCATGTCTCACAAATGATCTTCAGTGTTTCACCACACTCTGGGATGCCGTCACTGAAATAATCGTTACAATCAGCCAACCATTCCCATATCTTAACTTTCATTCAAAATTATAATATGCATTTCATTGCTGGTTACATACTTGCAAAATTGTTTCAAAATTAAATGTCAATCCATTCCAGAGGGTGAACTCTCCACTGGAGGCCCCAGTTACCAGTCTCCTTCCTTCTGGAGTCCACTGAAATTTAAATCCAAAGAAAAAGTGACACGACACTTTAGAAATTGAATCATAATGCATGATTTTTAACTAAAAAATTGTGTAAAAAGAGCTTGAATTTTAACTTAAACAACACAAATTCATGGTCATATTCATTTTATCTCATTCTTTAAAAAGTAAGCTTCCACCAGTGTGAGTGTCCAATCCTAAAAATCCTGTTTGGAATTAATAACATAAGTCAGGAAACAAAAAAATGGACAAAAAGCTAAAGAGAATAGGGGATTTTGTTTAAAAACCGGAAAAATTCCAACTTTTGAGAGACAAATTTGGGGTCAGCAAACAAAGTTCATAACTCTTTGAAAGAGGCTTGGACTTAAAGAAAGAGCCTGGATGAGAAGATTCTTACTCATCCCCTTCATTAGTGCATTTCATTCAGTTCAAATGATATTTAGAAAATATATCAGATAAAAAGCCACCATTCTCAGCTTAACCAAAACTGAGATATATGTCTCAGCAAATCAGAATTTAATTTGTCATTTTACATTATAATTCATATTGGCTCATGAGAAGAACAGCAAATGAACTACGCTTACAAGTATACACTCTATGATAACTACATTTAGCTAAAAGTAAGTATTTGAACAATGTGCTACATACGGCAACACAAAATATTGGACATCTCAGTTTATTGGTTGATGTTCGCACAAACTTTGTGGTAACGGCATTGATGGGATTCTCCATGAGGCAAGCTGGTGGGAACACCTAAAGAAGAGAGAAAACACTGTAATCTGCCAAAATGTAAACAATAAATCAACACACCCGACAAAACCAACCCACAAAGCTATTTGATGATTACTAGCAAAGTGAGTTGAGTAAATTTAAATTTCTGTGGTTTGCTTAGCCATTTTTGAGCAACACTAAAAACCCTTCAGACTATCTCAACCGTTTCATTGCACACCTTAAACCATGTGCCACCATATCAATCAATTTCCCCAGCTTGAGATCAACTGTATTTTAATTTAAGTTTTCTGTGGCTCTTGTTGATATTTCTATCTTTAGCCTTTTTTGTAATTACACAACACTTGAAAAAGGTGTTCAATTTTGGTAGCAACATTACTATTTCTGAAGTTAACATCGATTGAATTATAATCTTTCTCAGAAAACCCTTTCTCTCCAAGGAATGAGAAATTTCTTTGCTTATCACAAGTTTGCTAAGCAGATGGTAAATCAGGATAAAGAAAAGGAGATACTCCCAAGATCTCAGTAGTAATTCTCCATACAGTTCGTTCATACAGTTCTTATGATTGGAGAATTGGTATTGGATCAACTAATAATCTACTAATTGATATTTCTATTCATTCTCATCACATGCTTGTTTGATACTATAAGGACATGTTCTATGTTGGTCACTCAAGGGAGTTAAAGAGCTCATATAAATTACTCAACTATAAAATAATTCAAAATGTATGGCACACAGTAAGGAGAATTCCCTTGACAATCTCAGGAGTCAAAGAGTCAATATTTACATCAGAAGAGAAGCTATCATCTGGCTGCATTCCACTCCTCTTGCTTAAATCTTTGAACCATTTTCTGTTCTAAAAAAGGAAACAATAGCCTTTTGTGAATAAATAGAATTCTGAAATTTTGGCTACAAAAAAATTTGCAACAACCCTTTGAAAAAATTAAAAATCAAATGACAGTAAAGGTAAGAGCAAGTTTCTCTTTTATCGTGGATGACTCAAAGATCGTGGTAACCTTGAATTTTGACCTTTTCACGAAATCAGTGTAATCGAAGTCTAGTAAATGATGTTGCACATTTACTAAGGATCTCTGCTCGTTCAGTACATTTAACTTGCGTATACGTGAGAAACTATTTAAGATTGAGTTATGATCTGATTCAAATTAAGGACTTTCTTTGTAGTGATAATATAAAGTGAGTTCTTTAGCAACACAAAGAAATGTTCAGAGCTCACAACGTCATGCAAGCATGACACTGTGAAGTGGACTGATTTCAACTGATTCAACCGTTTTACGGCGAGAAAAAGTTGTCGTACCTCGATTAGTTTAACAACAGAGGAGTTATAATCAACAGTTTTTCGCATAACAGCCTTTCTCATCCGTTTTCCATCAAAAGTAATGGGCTGCCGAAACCGATTGTCATCTTGAGACTCGGCAGAGGCAGTAGCAGGTTGAGCTGTCGAAGTTGTTGCAGGCTTTGGGACAATCTTAAGCGATTGTTGGGGGGCCTGCTGGAACATCATCGTAAAATCCGTTTAACAGGGTTAATTTTCCTTCATATCATATTTTTTCTAACTACTTTCTCGTTTCATCTTTCGTATTCTCAAACGAAATGTTGTGGTCGTAGAAGAGAAGGACGCCATATTGTTCCCTTTTGGCGGCATGTGCGAGGAGATCACGTGACGTTAGCCGCTGACCCACTTAGGATACACTGGGAATCAAAACAAGTAATACGACAAAATGCTCACGAGCCAACAAATGTGAATTGTGTTCGTTCAAAATGCCGCCAATCTTGAAGGTAGTATTCATTCTTCTGGGAATTGCTCCCCTTCTCAGGCTAATTATAAACACTGTAGCTCTCAGCTGTGGCACAATCGTCGTACTGTGGCTCGCAATTGCGAATGGACTTGTTAGTAAATGGTCGGCCTTCGCGCTGGTGCTGTACTCATGTTTTAGTCTCCTATGTTTGGTCCTGGCAAGAAAAAGCACAAAGAACAGAAAAATGAAATACGTGGAGTGGAAGTTAGTGAGAAAATCTGCTGTGAGGCTGGTGGGATTTTCGATTTAGTGGCAAGGAGCATCTTCATTCTTACGATTATTGAACCCCGTCGATTTAGAAAGAGCTATAACCTTCATTCTGGGCACGAACTTTTTGAGACACATGAAGTAGGAAACTCGATGGATTGAATGAGTGGAATCAAGAGGATTGAACTTTGCACATGGTACTTAAATCTAGAAATTATACATTTTGCTTCGTTTCAAATACGAAATTTTAGTGCAGGCCCAGGCGTACATGGAGCCAGTCTGTAAATAAGTTATGACGTGACCTTTGATCAATTTTATATGTAGACTTTGGATATGGGTAGATTTGAACTTTTGGACGCAATCTAGAACTGCAGCGTGTTGGTTTGTTTTGTTTTGCGAATTAATCCCAACCCTTTTACTTAAAGTCGATATCCAAGCCTGTAAGAGTTGATCTAGAGGCGTCACGAAATGCTGTCCATGCTGCTTTAACATTACCTGACATGTGATTGTTTTTATCACGCGATGTTGCTTTATAAAAAGTGTAATAAAAAAAAGCTGTTTTGGTCTAGGGACTCAGTTTAAAAGAGCAAAAGAGTAGAGTGAGCGAGGGAAAAAGCGCGAGGGGGGGGGGGAAGAGCGAGGAGACTAAGAGATTCGCGCTACTCCTTCTTATAGCCCAGCCGATTTTTACGTTTGTCTTCCCTGACTGAGAGGCTGGAGGAAGCTAGAGGAATGCGGGCCTTATAATGATATCTACCAGGATGAAGAATGAAGGAGTTAATGGTTTTATTTTAAAAAATTGTCTTGTTTCTTGCGAAATAGTTACTGAAAACAATCCTTTCTATTCGTTGAGGTTTCAACCGAAACTACCGTAATAAACCTCACATGAGGGTATAAGAGGATTTAAAACGACAGAATGAGCACTGCAAACTATTCACAGTCCAGCTGAGCGCAGTAATGAATTGTCCCTAGACATGCTGCCGTTATTACAGTATCACAGTATTACTCCTACTTCAAACTTTAGGGACATGGGAATTAAGTAGTAAACCAAGAAATGGATAACTCGCTAAATTGGGTTCTTTTCAACATAGTAAGCGGTTAAATAACAAGCGATGCACTGCGGAAGTAAGGTGAGGTACTTTTTGTGAGAATTTGACTGTATTTTTTAAATTCTGAAAGCGGTCGTAAATATTCTCATACAAACTCTTATAACTTTGCCACGACTCTTATTTCGCGAGATGATCATCTCACAGATGGAGCTTGGGCCGCCTGTGTTAGAATAAACCAAGAGAGGAAGGAGCTTCTACTGAACTTAAATCGAAAAGGAAGGAAGAGGGCTGCGGGAATAAAGATTAAGCTGTTCCTTTTTTTTTTTTCGTTTAGCATCAAATGCGTTTCCTGATATTGGGTCGGTCGGTCGGATTGAAAAGAAAAAGCCTGGGAAAAAAAAAAGTTACAAAAAGACAAGTCTCTAAATAGGAGGCCTGGTACCCCAGCATCATTGCCGTGGAGCGTGGAATATTAATTAAGACAACTTGGGAAAAAGGATCAACCACCGAAACTCCTATGCGACATACCATGGCAGTGAGGATGACTTTTAAAGTTATTATTTACGTATTTGGATGAACAAAATGCACAATATATTGTCAAAAAAAGTTCCTGATTTTGTCCCTGTTTTTCTCTATGCTGTTATAATGCTCATTACTCAGATTAAAATAATCATTTACAGTGAAAAATGGTTTAACTTAGTTCGTCGCTGCCTTTTCTTTTTTTTTTTTTAAATGCTAAAAATTTGGGTCTGTCGGACGACACTAAACGGAGAAAAAAAGGATGGCCTAACGGCGCAAAGTGTGACTAACACAGTCTAGAGACTGCACGTTTTTACCCTACTATCTGCGTCGGTACATTAATTATGATAAATTGATATGTAATTAAATTATATTAACGGCGTAAAATTTACAGTATATACATAACCGACTGGATGAAATTACGCCGTTAGTTAACGGCGGAAAATCTTACAGTATTTATATCATGTGTCACCGACTTGAAGAAATTACGCCATTAATTAAAGGCGTAAAATCTTACAGTATATATATTACCCACTGTAAGAAATTACACCTTCAACTAACGGCGTTAAATCTTACAGTATATATATTTACCGACTGAGCCAGATTAAGCCGTTTGTTAACGGCGTAAAATCTTATAGTATGTATATATACAGACTGAATGAAATCACGCCGTTAGTTACCGGTGTCACAGCGGTTAGGACCCCCGCTGATTTGTACCCCCCCGTCCAAATCCGCTAGCGGGTATGGATCCCTCTTCGCAGGATTGGACTACCCTGACAAAATATCCTTTGAAGCGTCATTCATATCATATTTGGAAACTAATTCTATTGGCAAGCTTTTTGTCGATGTTCTTTTCAATCACAACTCAAAATTCCGTAATTAAGATAAAGAAAATCAGCCATTTCGTTCCAATTCTGCCGCATTTATTATAGCGAGTCGTTCAGTATGCGCAAGAATTAAATGCGAACGAATTACTGCATTCGCACTTTTGAAATTGTTACAATAAGTCCTTGCTTCTTCTGATTCTTACAGTATGTATACCGAAGCAGATAGAGGCGTAAAATCGCAGTCTCTAGACTGTGCCAGACATATTACTCCGTTATCCACTTACCGCAAAATGATCATTGACTTAACTTTCCTATCCTTAAACCTATACTTTATTGGAAAAAAGCAGAAAATTTCCTATTCACTTTCCGTTCCAGGGTACGCACGACTGAGAAAAACTAACGAATTTGCACGTCTGTTTGCATTTAACATCAGAATTAATCTCTCTTTTGCCTCAAGCTATCAGTGGTTACTTTCAGTAGTTTTAATTTCTTTTTGATTTAGATAAATTTCAAATATTCCGTTCGCAATTTTTTGGATTTGGACCGAGGAACAAGAAAGCCAGCGTATTTTTGTGTTGTTTCCTTATCCTTCGTTGCACCTACATAACTTTTCACATGAACTGCATTCTCAAGATGATCTAAATAGGGTTAACCGTTAGCCATAAGACGGCACAAAAAAAAATTAGCCGTAAGGCGTAATAACGGACGAGTTTGAACCGTTGGTCGTAAAAAAGAAGTTAACCGTAAAAATTATCATTTGAAAAAAATGGAAAGAAGTCAACCGTTACCCATAAAGAGGCCAAAATCTTAATTGTTAACCGTAAAAGCCATCATCCCTCTGAGACCCTCTCACAAATGCCTCCACCGGAACCGTTCAGTATTCATAAGAATCTCTCCTTGACCCTCCCCTCCCAGGTTTTCACTAGTAATTCTCCTCACCGTGTGTCATACAGTTCTAATGTGTCAGTCCGGAGAATTTAAAATTGGATCAACTAATAAACCCCCTCATCGCTATGTTTCTTTATTCTCATCATTTGTCTGCTTGATGCTGCATTGATATTGTGAAGAGAAATTGTCTTAGCCACTCAAGGGAGTTAAGAGCTTAACGTTAATATCGGTGAGTTTTAAGATAACTCGATACACCAAATACTAAAACAAGTTTGCTCATGACTTTTATTAAAAATTTATCCTCAAAAATTGGAACAATACAAAATGTAACCATACGACCTATTCTATCACATTAACATAAACAGCCCTTCCAATTTATGTAGTGTCTATAATTGTCCCTACACATGCTACAGTGATTACAGTATCACAAACAGTATTACTCCTAAATCAAACTTTAAGGACATGAAAATTGAGGAAATGATCGCCAAGTAAAGAAGCTTTTGATTGTTTCATAAATCCCCCTTTTTTAACGATATATATAGGAAATGGGTGAATAGTGTAGAAAATATGCATACTGATGTCAGGCTATGTACTGCCTTGACTGAAAAACTGGAGGAGCAGTCACAACGGTGACTACAAAAGCGAACCAATTTATTCATTTAAATTCTTACACCTTTTTGATTCGACATTAGTAATTATAACCTTATTATAATTCTAAATTTTGTAGTTTGCTCCCCGCGCGTAGGTATGACGATGGTTTCTCTTTCGTGCGCAGTTCAGTTTCTGCTCCTATCGTCTTTTCGCATGACTGATGAGCAGGGTTTAAAGCTGGCATCTGATACCCAACGCTAACTAAATCTTCTAACCATGCTTTTGTTAACATGGCATCCTTGATCTCCCAGAAGCCTTCTCGAACCATTGCTATGCTCAGATCTAGAACTCTGCTGAAGAAATCCCTTTTGTCAGATTTCCATTTAATCAAGAACTCGACGAAACGCCCAGCATTATGGTAAAACATTTTCTCATCGATGAAATCATCAAGATAGTTGTGAGCATTTCGAAACTGAACAGCATTTGGCGGGAAAAATGACAGCTGCGAGCCAACATCCCATAGCAACCGCTGTGCCCAGTAACCACGCCAGATATCACAGACTCGAAATGCCACTGTGATTGGTATCAACATGCCCCACAAGGCTTTGTTCAAGAACAGCGTGTTTTGGGAGTTAAAAGGAGCCATCGTGTTTGGAGGAAGAACAATTGGTAGTGCGTCAGCAGCAAACTCTACTTTTAAGTCCACACCTTTGTCCTTTCTTGTTAGACGAAAGACAGCGTCCACATCTGGGTCACCATTTACTACGCCCTGCTGTATGGATGTGTCCACCCCTTGACATTTAACAAACTTGTGTGACGGGGGATCAGCGATGTGTTCCAATGGGTACCCTCTAGGCCAAATAGTACTCTGTCCAAAGTGTTCGTAAGGATTAACTACCATCGATTCCGTCTTGTAGACGTTGAAGTCACCCAGCTCTGACTGGTGGAAGGTTATTTTCCCACTTGTTGGTGAGTTATCGTCATCTGTTTCGTAGATAATTTTAGCCCCATGTTGAATGGCATAAAGGTATCCGATGTTTTTCCGCGCATAACTTTTGTACGGAAGCAAGTCGTGGATGCGATATCCCAGAGATTTTTGTTTTTCAACACTCAGGAAAACGCAATTGGGATGGCTGTAGAAATGAACAAAGCAAAATATGGTCAAGCTCTTTATTCTGACCGTTCCCAACTCTTCCCTATACCCAGACCCTCTCGACCTTTGTTGTTACCTGCGTTTATAGCTCTCAAGTCCCGTCTACACGTATTCGTTTTTGAATCAATACAAGGATTTTCCTTCGACTAATAAATCGCCAGTCTACACATTGCGTTTTTCAATCGTTCTTGCCAGTTCGCACACCAACGAAACAGTGACCAAAAACCGAACCACCTTTAATATGAGCATGCGTACTCACTAATATCTTACGCTAAAAAAATATGGAGATAGCAAATTCTCCCTCCAGTCTTTCGCGATGACTAGTTGGTATTCAAAGGCATGCCACCATGTATTCGATTTTCAATTGATCATCTTTTGCCACCTGTTTTAGAGACCACTGCAGAAAGAAGCGTGATTATGTTGCGTCGTCTTCCTACGTAATCGCCTGGCACAACTGACATAAAAAATGCAGCTGAAAAAAAGGCTTGATGCTTGCAAATAGTGCAAGTAGCCCAATTAGGAGTGAAACAAACAGCTTGCATCCGTCCGCCATGTTGCTTAGTCTTTTCTCATGCGCGGCCCGACCGAATAAATCATGAAGTAATATATTTTCAGAAACCTCAGTCATGGTTTTAACTGTCCACACGAGCACGGCAAAATGGCGCTTTTAAAAACCTCTCCTCTGGAATGCATTTTAGAGAAGATGTGTTTTCGGTGATCGTTTTCACTGGATACATGTGAACAAAATTGTGTTACCATGTAACAAGCTGATGCGACAGGTCCTTAGGACAAATCCCTTCGTGTTTATTTATCTCCAAAACAATCCTCTGCGACTCATATTATTGTCACGATCATTTCACAAATTTTATCCAGCTTGATATCGAGCGCCAATTTACGTGGATAAAACTATGGCAAACCATGTATTCGATTTTTCGAATGTCGAACAGACAAAAAATTCACACTGATTTCTTTCTAAGACGAAACAAAGTTTACGTGCGCCCGTGTTGTGGAAAATAGTACATCTTCCTGCTAGTTGATTAATGCAAATTAACGAAATATAAGTCGGTGGCTACTGTTGTATATTTTTTGTGAGTATTTGTTGCCCTTAAAAAACCAAATGCGGGAAATAACTATCACATAGCGCTATGGTAATTTCGTGCTAATCTGGCGATGACGTGTTGTACGCGATCAAAATAATATAAAGTTGGGTTGATATTGATCTTGTCACATCCAAAACTTCAGTAGAATCCTAACTTTCGAATTTCCTTGAGAAAGAGTGAATCGAATCATTTCTTCATTTACTAAAAAATCAAGGACGTTCTAAGAATATACCATAATTCTGCGTTACGCACCACTGGGGCTAAAGCTTTTGTTTCGATTCCTTGTGGCATATCACACCTGAACAAATGCAAATTATTGTTTGCTTCTGAAAGAAAAGACGTGAAATCTCACTAGTTTGATGAAATTCGGCAGTTTTTCCTTCCGCAGAAAAATATCAAAGCCCTCAAAGAGTTATTACCATAAATAAACATATAAATATGGTGTACCTCCAGTCTGCCGGTGTTTTCGTATCACCTACAACTACAACCTTCCAGCCTTCAATACCGGCCAACTTCTTCACATCTGATGTCGGCGCATTAATTGTAGTCAGAACTATCCATTTGTCGTGCATATCTCCCTTCGGAGGCGTCTGTTTTTGTGGTATTTTACTCCAGTCGATTTCAATGGCTTCTATTTGTCTCAAAGCTGAGTTTGTCAACTCCTGCGTGTGAGTGGAGTCCATCTGCGCACCAATAATCTTCCCTTGTTCAGTATGAGCGGAATCATTTTTAAACAGTCGATACACGAAAATTAAGATGATTAATTGAATGAACAACGCGACTAAAACCCACGATTTAGACATGGCTTGACCAAAATTTTCTTATCGTGTGATTACTTAATCCCAGAGTAACATTGTTGTTCGCCTTCCCTTGTTTCCTCAGTTGCGGACTTGGAACTTTCCAAAACTTACCCGCGGGCGAAGGAACGCGGGCTCATTTCCCATACAGCTGCTTAAGGTTACTGTCAACAAAATAAGGTGCCTTTCGGAAAAATCGTCCTATGTGCACTACTACAGAAACCATAAAAAACTGTTTATAAATGTAAAGCTTATAAAGTTAAACTTATGAAAACAGCAAAATTCTTCTCAGGTTTTGTTTTCTTAAGGCGCAAGCAACCTCTAAACGCAAAACTGAGAAGCCTCCGCATTACCGCGGACCTACATAGAAACTGGAGAGTATCATTCAGCAGATAATAAGCTAACATAGAAAATACCTCGGTTGTTGTCACGCTCCGGGACTTCGCGAGAGAAATATTTCGAATTTCGTAAAAGCCTCACGCTGCTCGGGCTCCCTCGCGACTTTTTCTCTGTTTTTGACGTTTGATGAAGATTCCTATTTCTTAACATTTTAACCAGATTTTCTTGACAACAACCTTAACTTCGATTCTGTTTTAAAAGAGAAAGAATCTTCGAGGATCTACTGTATATGCGTTATTGACCAAGCGTGAGGCTGAAGATGGCTGGATATTGGCCAAGTTTTTTTCTTTCGTTTTTATGGACCGAGAGGAAGTAAATATATATTGACAAGTTTGGCCTATGTTTCCCACTTGGACTGCCAATCAGAACACATGATTCCCTTCATATTGCCCACGGATGCTGCCAGCGATACATTAACCTTAGGTAATTTCATTATTGGGTCGTTGTTGTCACGAGAGTGTTATAGAGGAAAAATTCTGAATTTCTATTCGCGCCTCAATACATTGCCCCTGAGCTATAGAAGACTAGATACTGAGCTACGCCATCACTAGATACTGTAATCTCCGATCGTAATTACTGAAGCAAGGAATGACCTATAATGACCTCGAGTGATTTGCACAGTAAACTAAAATAAAAATAAAAAACCTAAATAATTTTGATGGTGTCTAAGATGGTCAGAAATGAAAATAACCTTGATTGATGTCTAAAATAACTAAAAATGACGTTTAAGTCTAGCTAAAGAGATCCACAATAGTAGCTGGTTGTAGCACAATGATCTAAGGTTGTTCTAAGTGATCTAAAGTGGCATACTATTAGGTGAAACCGAGAAGGTAAGCTCTCAGCTCGCGCATTCAGTTCTGTTGTTCTGTTGTATATCGCTGGCAATTACTATTTCAAATTGTTCCAGTAAAGTTTAAACGTCATTTTAGTCAGTGAAGGTTATTTTCGATCATTTAGGTCGAGACATCAGTCAAGGTTACTTTAGGTCATTTTAGAAATCACTTAAGGCCATTTTGGGTCATTTCAGAAACCACTCAAGGTCATTTTAGGTCATTTTTTTCCTTATTTAAGGGCATCCCTTGTTTTAGTAACAACGAATCTCCTACAATCAGGAAATAGTTTTTGCCGAGTTTCGTTCATCTTCTTCGCTCTCAATTGAGAATTGAAACGAAACGACTGTGGGTACAAAACGACTGGATACCAACGAACTAAAGCTAAGTTAAACGGCCTAAAATCTGCCCAACGACCATAAGTAATTTCATTACTTTCACTATAAAATCTGCCATGCAGGTTACCCCAAGCTGTTCTCCACAGACAATACATCTCAGAATTTCATTTCATTGTAATCAAATACTAAATACTTGACAAAGAACAGTTAACTCAAGAGCAATTTTTGATATTCTCTTAGTCAAATACAATGGTTTAAAAACATTTTCATTGCTGGCGTAAAACACTTTCATTCCTTGTAATTTAATGGATTTCTGTCTATAATGGAGTTAGATCTCCACCTACCTCTCTATCCCAGCTCAATCCACCTCAAGAAGAAAATTAAATTACTTGTCCCCAGAAATTGTTCTCAATCCACTTAACTTTTCACTTTTTTAATCAATTTTTTAATAGCAAGGTGAACGGGGTGACAGAGGATGCTAATTTTCTAGCATGGCATTCAACCACCCTGGACTTACAATACCAAATTTCTTGGGACTCTGTGTAGTTGAAATGTGATCACATTACTTAAAGTTGCCATCAAATGTTGATATGCTGGCCTACCCAGCAAACCCCCTGCCATGCCTTTAGAGATAACAGCTTTTCAGGATTTGGACTCAAAAAAATGGAAAACCAAACTTCAAAACCAGAAATTTTATGGGATTCACACGTCAAGCTTGCATTGGTTCAATCATGGCCAAAAGGGCCTTCTTACTTTACAGACTGGAATGGATACCTTATAGTCACTTGCTATGAGACTTAACATTTGACTGATAATATAACAACTAAAATAATAATAACAATAATAGCAATTGTCATCTTATCTTTAACTGGCAAATTCAGAACAACCTTGAAAATTGCAAAACTCTTGTGTGCCAAGCTGGGCATTTCAAATATTACTTTACAATAGACTTAATACCTAGAATCCAAATGGTCTTTGGTACTGGAATTTGTCTTCTTTTGCAGACTGTTTAAAAAAGTATGACAAAGCAATTGTCGAATTTGGTTTTTACATATTATGAATCAAAGAAGCTTGTGTCTAAGTTACCCGCCACAGCCAAGTTGAGTATGAGATCTTGATAATTCAAGATATCATACTCAACCTTATCCAATACAGTGTAAATAATTATTCTTGGATGTGCAAAACAGTCCACCAAACTTGGAACAGCATAAACACTGATAAAAATGGAGAGAATTGATAACAACTATGAGGAGGATGTTATCTATAATTATAATCATAAAAGTATTAGATCTGTGGAGGCATTAACTTGAAAGATTCCCCAAACATATCATCCCCTCTTTTCCCTATAGAAAAAAGCTGATCCTGCTTTTTGCTCTAATATATACTTTAACTCTTTACCTGCCCTCAAATACGAGGAAGGCTTTTCTTTGAAGTACAGTACTGTTTCCCCACCCACTGTATGTCTCAAGCATGGCTTTGGTTCAGTTGGAATGAATGGCATTTCATACCCAACCCTTATTAAATCAGTTAGCCAAGCTTCTGTTAACATGGCATCCTTCATCTCCCAGAAGCCTTCTTCGACCATTGCTATGCTAAGATCTAAAACTCTGCTGAAGAAATTGTTTTTGTCAGATCTCCATTTCACCAGAAATTCCACTAAACGCCCAGCATCATGATAGAGCATTTTCTCATCTATGAAATCATCAAGATAGTTGTGAGCATTTCGAAACTGAACAGCGTTTGGTGGGAAAAACGACAGCTGCGATCCAACATCCCACAACAACCGCTGTGCCCAGTACCCACGCCAGATATCACAGACTCGAAATGCCACTGTGATTGGTAGCAACATGCCCCATAAGGCTTTGTTCAAGAACAGTGTGTTTTGTGAGTTAAAAGGAGCCATTGTGTGTGTTGGAAGAACAACAGGTGGTGCGTCAACATCAAACTCGACTTTTAAGTCCACTCCCTGGTCCTTTCTTGTTAAACGAAAGATGGCATCCACATCTGGGTCCCCATTAACAACACCCTGCTGTATGGCTGTGTCTACCCCAGGGCATTTGACAAACTGGTGTGATGGTGGATCAGCAATGTGTTCCAATGGGTACCCTCTAGGCCAAATAGTACTCTGTCCAAAGTGCTCGTAAGGATTAACCACAACAGAATCAGTCCTGTACACAAGGAAATCACCAGTTTCTTGCTGATGGAAAGTTATTTTTCCACTTGTTGGTGAGTTGTCATCATCTGTTTCATATATTATTTTTGCTCCATGTTGGATGGCATAAAGGTAACCTATGTTTTTACGGGCATAACTCTTATAAGGCAGTAAATCATGAATATAATATCCCAATGACTTTTGTTTTTCAACACTCAAGAAAATGCAGTTTGGATGACTGTAAAAGAAAACAAAAAAAGGTAACTCTTGATATTTTTCAGTTTATAATAAAATTTTTCTTGTAGCTTTACAGAAATATAGAAAGGTAATTTAAGTAAAAACTGCAACACAGAGTTTTCATTAGTATAAGTCCTAATGTTCTTGCATTCTTTTATTTGAAAAGATGCCTAGTAAACACTAAATAAAATGCTAAGCAAATGTCAAGCATTTGGAAAGCTTTTGGTTTTATGTCTATGCCACAAATCTTCAAATTATACCAAAAGGTTGCTGTGATGCCACATTGAAGTAACAAGTAGTCTAAGGTTTCTTTTCAGTTTTGCCCAAAGAGCAGAAGACACTGTCTGATTCTGTACCAAAACAGGTTTGTGATAGGAAGTATGTTATGAATTCTGTATACAAGTATCATCAGCATACATCTTTTGTGATAATAAAAAGTAAGAAGTATATTTTGTGTACATTGAGTTTTGAAAAGCCATGTCTAAAGATTTTATCTCCAACTGATGGTGGTTCCAAAATAGTTTTTAGAATTCTAGAATAAATATGCCTCACAAAAAAGCTCTTGTTATGCATCACATTTTGGAGCTCAGTCAGACCATTTTTTTGACAAAAGATTTCCATTTGCATGGGATGGTATTGATTTAACCATGGTGAGTAGAAAAGGGTACATTCATTAGGAACTTTGCTCTGAATAATCAAAATGAGAAGAATTCCCCACATGTATTCATTAAGTTACACAAATGTAAGATGTCATTCAAGAATCATTTTTTTTTAAAGAAAAACTGATTTTTTATTGATTAAAATTTGCCTGTTGATCAATATAATTTCAGGTTCATAATTAGTTCTTTTTCCCTCTGAAGGGTTTCAACTTATAAAATTCTTGCCTGTATTGCTAAATCACTAGGTAAAAAAGGGACAAGGTTTTTTGTAGGTTAAGCAGTTTCATTTTATGATTACATTTAGTTAGAAAGGCAAAGGTTGCAATGGTTTTCCATGAGGCGTTGGATGTGTTTTGTATCTTATTGACCCAAGGTTTTTTTTAACATTCTTTCCATTATAGAAAAGTCACATTTTAAGACCACCACCTCACATTTGCTGGATTACCATCCTAAATATTATTGAAAATCAGCTAGTTTATTTTCAAAGATTATGCTCATGCGTAACAAACACAGTTTTGAGTGGTCAAGTGTTTCAAAAACAGTAATCCTTCCATAAAAACTAAGTTTTCTTTACTGCTAGGTTTTACCATCATTTCTAAATCTTGAATTTTTGCATTAAAATTTAAAGCATCTGCATGCGATTGATTGTACAAGAAGAAACAACAAGCCTTTTGGCCACTTGAAACTGAAGTATGTATCTGACTTATTTTTCCTCTGCTTCAGTTTTAATAAATAATGGTTTGAAGTTCACAGAGAAAACCAAAATCTCTTAGCAACTTTTGCAGTTTAACTAGTTCTCTCTGTGGACCTCAAATTAATATATATTGCATGCATGTAACGTTATTAATGGGCCTCCAAAAAAGTGAATTACCAGCCTTGGTAAAATTTCCGCATAGCCCCATACTATTGTAAAACAAACCTGTTTTCCCAATGGCAATGTATTGTTTTTGTCATTGTTTTCTCTATCCAAGAACTGAATGCATAATGTAGTATGAGGCTGTGCGAAAATTTTACCGTCTATTGCCTCGCGGAACGCTATGTTCATTAAATTGTCCCACTTCAATGCGCACACTGACACCCAGTTTTTAGTTTAAATTCGTTACGTCAAGGCTTACATTCATAAATATAATCTCTCTACAAGGGAAAGTAAGAGCAACATAGTTTACCTCCAATCTGCCGGCGTTTTAGTATCACCCACAACTACAACTTTCCAGCCTTCTATACCAGCCAACTTCTTCACATCTGCTGTAGGAGTATTTATTGTGGTCAGAACTATCCATTTTTCGTGCATTTCTCCTTTCGGAGGCGATGGCAATCGAGGGATTTCTTTCCAATTGACTTCTTTCAAATTTATCTCCACAAACGAATCAGCGGAGTTGGTGTTATTTGAAGACTTCGACAATCGTTGCCGTTCGTTCCAATTTACAAGGTAATCCTTTGAAGCAGATATGAGAGGAGTCGTAGTATTGTTGCGAATGAGTGTATAAGATACACCAAGTAGCAGTAGAACGGCAAATGCCGTGATAAAGGTAATCCAAGCCCTAGACATCACAAATTGTTAGCTCAGAGATCGGTCTTGTAGTTGTGCTGTTTAGACGCTAAGCTCTCATTCTGCCTACCCTGTTTGTTAGTACTGGGTCGAGTACATCAGGTCGAGGCTAATTGCAAGGTTTATTATTTTATTATTTTTGTTTTCTAATACAAACTTGGTTTCTTTCTGTGAGTTTCTAGCCTGGTTCTCTATGGCTTTCCCGTACTTTTGAAATTTCACTACGAAGGTGTGGAAACGAATAAGGAAAGAATAACGATATAGCCAATTAAGGCGGCGCACCCCTTGACAAGAATGCTGAAGATCAGTTTTCCGGAGGGGGTGAGAGAGTCCCGCTATATTTAGGCAACGTGTAGCCGTACCCTCCCCCGTTAATCCTTGAAGGGGGAGGGAGGGGTACATGTACACGCAGGCTACGCCATTTTTCGCTTGCGAACCATACTCAGGGTAACTCAGACTGCATTTGATCACGGGCTGTTTTATCTCGCGCACAGTAGGCACAGCCTACTCTGCGTGTCAGGGGTCTAAAGATCATTATCATAAGCGTAGGCGTGTGCCGTAAAAAAAAAAAATAATAATAAATAAAAAAAAGAGAGAGAAAGAAAAATAATATAAAAGTTGAAGAAAAAAAATGGATAGTAAAAGCGAGAATTATAACGTGTAGGTATCCTTACCTTTATTCCACAGCCGTGTTATCGCTTATAATCATCTAAGGAGGCTATCGTATGCATCTGTAATAATATTATGGTGCGAAAGAAGAATACCAGAAAGAGCCTCTAAGAATATGTTGAATCTTCAAGTTTGAACTGGACTACTGACAACAAAGCACAAGGTTTACATTTTATGATAAGAATTAAAAAGCCTTTGAATGGGAAACGTAACTGGACAAGAAAACTCGCCCTCCGTTACGTAGCACTGAAAGGAAAGGCTGCAAAGGAGACTATTGGGCATAAAACCCGTTAAACATTACTTCTAAATGTCAGATTCCTTTGATCTCTGACTAACCTAATCACAGTATTTCCATATATAACATCGTGCCATTTTATAACAAAACTTCCTTTAATGATTGACAAGATCATTCCCATGTAAAATAATAGTCAAATGTAATAAAAAAAATTCCTCTGTTTTCCATCAAAAAAGGTAACTTCATGCATTTTTCAACAGCATCGACTGTTCTCAGCTCCCTATTTTGCAAAGTTCATTGCACGGAACACTTTAAATGAAAAACACATTGACTTTCTGGGGGTAACAGTCGTTCCTTCGCTCCTTAGCATCTATCCTGTAGTAATTTTGCATCCTTTGGGCTCAAGCTAAGAAATAAAGGAAGCTGAGAGTAATTTACGGGAATGAGCTGCTCTTGAACTCAAAAATGACCGCCTCTATGATTTCACTCGTGAGACGAAACTAGATCTCTGTTCTTCAATATAGGAATTCCGCCTGATTATAAAAGTTTCAAATCACCACCTTCTCGTAAATACGAGGACGGTTGTTCTTTCGGGGGAAGCTCAATCTCGCCTATAATTTCTTGACATGGCTTATGAGAACTTTTTAAAATTGGCATTTCATACCCGACGCTAATCAGATCAGCGAGCCAAGCTTCTGTCAAGAAGGCGTCATCAGTCTTCCAAAAGCCCTCTTGAACCATTGCTATGCTCAGATCTAAAACTCTGCTGAAGAAATCGTTTTCGTCAGATCTCCATTTAACCAGAAATTCTACCAAGCGCCCAGCATCATGGTAGAGTAGTTTCTCTTCGATAAAATCAACAAGATAATTGTGAGCATTTCGAAACTGAACAGCGTTTGGTGGGAAAAACGACAGCTGCGATCCAACATCCCATAGCAACCGCTGTGCCCAGTAACCACGCCAGATATCACAGACTCGAAATGATACGGTGATTGGCAACAACATGCCCCATAAGGCTTTGTTAAAAAACAGCGTGTTTTGTGAGTTGAATGGAGCCATCGTGTTTGGAGGAAGAACAACAGGTGGTGCGTCAGCATCAAACTCTACTTTCAAGTCTACACCTTTGTCTTTTCTTGTTAAACGAAATATGGCGTCCACATCCGGGTCACCATTTACTACGCCCTGTTGTATGGATGTGTCCGCCCCTCTGCATTTGAGGAAGTTGTGTGATGAGCGATCAGCAATGCGTTCCAATGGGTACCCTCTTGGCCAAATAGTAGTCTGTCCAAAGTGTTCATAAGGATTTACCACCGTAGAATCAGTTTTGTATACATAGAAATCACCGGTTTCCAGCTGATGGTGGAAAGCAATATCTCCACTTGCTGGCGAGTTGTCATCATCTGTTTCATAAATGATTTTTGCTCCATGTTGGATGGCATACAGATAGCCGATGTTTTTACGACCATAACTGTTATAGGGCAGAAAATCATGAATGCGATACCCTAGAGTCTTTTGTTTTTCAATGCTGAGGAAAACACAATTGGGATAACTGTAAAAATAGAAAAAAGAAAGGTCACAGTCAACTGAGTGGAGAAAGAAGTCAAGGATTGCTTCGAGTTTGCTTTACTCTGGTCTGTAATTGGTCTAGAAAACTCACTCCATGCATCTAACCAATCAGACGCCAAAGTAAAACCAACTGTGACTTGATCGTGGGTGTTACTAAACTGCCAATCAGCAAACCGCGGAACTCCCGGAACCTGCTGAACCCCATACTTTTTTTGTGAAAAAAAAGAAGTCAAATAAATTAAAAACAAAAAGACCTTGATGCTTATTGAAAGTTCGTTTCCAGCTAAAAAGAAGATAACTTCAGGAGGGAAATATATATATTTTTATCTACCTTGACGTCCAACCACAGGATGCCCAAGCTCCTACAGTCAGCCTCGATCTGTGAATATGCAAATATGTTCACGTTGCGCAACGGGTGAAATGCAAGGGTTTGCATGGAAATAAACAGTTGCGCTCTTCATTTTTTTTTAAACAGAAAATTAATGGTTCTGCAGGTTCCGCGGTCTGCTCATCCACACTTTAGTAACATCCCTTAGTCGCCTGCGTTTTCCCACAGTTTTGGTAGTTTGCCTGTTTTTACCTCGAGTCCTTTTGAGTCCTCATCGACTACTGATGACGAAACTTTGCTATGATTGGTTGTTGTGATTATTTTTATTTGGTTTTGATTTAAAGAAATTCAATTGAAAACTGCTCTACATCAGTAAATCAGTATGGGATTAATTGAATGAATTGAAATTCAACTATATTTAATCAATCTTACAGACTGTCACACAACCTCGAAGAAACAGAGGGGAATAAAATGAGTTTTTCTGCCCAAGACAAAGGAAACTCATCGGTAGAAAGAAGAAAAGGGCTGATACAGTTCATAAAGAAATCAAGAGTTTTTTTTTGTACAAGAGAAATATACGGATTTTGACAACAAAAAAAATATATTAACAAAACAAGAAAGTTAAGATTTCCACAAAACATCTAAAATCATCATTCATCACTTGGATGGTTTATTTGGACCCAACACAGTGACCAGCTCCCAGTTGGCTTGTTAGCTTAGTTGGTAGAGCGCTGCACCAGTATCGCAGAGGTCCTGGGTTCAAATCCCGTACAGGCCTGAATTTTTTTCAGGTCCAATTTTTGACTACTAGTTCAATAGTGTTCTTAGTTGCGAGGATCTCTTAATTTCGAAACAAAATCCTATTTGAACAACAAACTCCGATTTTATCACGAAAAACACCATTTTTTTCCTAAGTCTTTTTAGCTTTAGAGACACCTGTTGACTCTGTTGTTGTTGTTGTTTAAAATTGTAATATACAAATCTTAAAATGAACAGATCATCCAAGTAACAAAATATTAACAACATACCTCCAATCCGTAGGTGTTTTTGTGTCACCGACTACTACAACCTTCCAGCCTTTCATACCCGCTAACTTCTTAACATCTGCTGTGGGTGGGTTTACAGTGGTAAGAACAATCCACTTCTCGTGCATTTCATCTTCAGGGGGCCGAGATCTCCGTGGTATATTATTCCAGGTAAAATCCACCGTCCGCTGTCGCAATTTTTTGTCACTTTTAAACGTCTGGGGATTGGAAAACTTTCCCGACACTGAGCTATGAACAATAACAGTTTCCTTTACGAAGAAAAGCCGATATAAAAAGAATAGAACAAAAAGTTGCAGAGAAATCCCTAGAAAATGGTATTTATTAACCATTTTCATGGGCAAGTATAAGTGACTAGATCTCTGTCTTTCTCTGCACCGGCAAAGAGAGTCGATCTAATTTGCATTACTAAAGAGATTTAACGACATTCAGTCCACTTTGTGAAAAACCTCAGAACATTCTTTTCGAGTCGCTCGCAAAAAACCATGGAAACGATTCCTGTTAAGTCACTTGTAATTGGTTTATTTGCGAATAAGGGTTGGTTTGGCTATACAGAACACTGAAATTGTTCACGGAGCGCTTGCGAAAAGCCTTATCAAACTTTCGATGGCCGTCGAAATCACAGTGGGTGTCGATTCCTTCTTTAATTCATGGCTCGAGAACAAGCCACAAATCATGGAAGAGCACCTTCAAGAAAAGAAAAGGAGTATTTCGGAACGGATAAATTGATTTTGGAACATTTATCAGCGATTCGTAACAAGAATAATTTTTAAATAGTACTCGTTCCTATGGTGACGGTTTGACAAAGAGCTTGTAAAGAAGATTTCCAACGGAGGTAACGAAGAAAGAAGCAAGACTTTGAAACGTCAACAGTGTTTTCTTTTTCTTTTTTCTTTTTTCCTTCTCCTTATTTCCGTACTTTGTGAACTCTAACTTTAAAATCGGAAGAACATCAGCCATGCTAATAAATCAAATAAATTACACCCTTTAGAAAACCAAATGTTTAATTTCCTTTAACAGTTGATGGTGTTTTAGCCTCCTGTTTAATTCCTTGCTGCGAATTACTTCTAAAACACTACTGTTGCAAATTTTTTTTCATAGCTAACATTGAAATACTGAATTACGTATGGGAGAGTGATGATTCACTGGACTGCAACAAAGACAAATTACGGCGCTACAATTAAAACCATTTGTCGCTCATCATTCTCCGTGTTTTGAGTCCCTCGCTGATTAGGCCTGGTAGGTGGTTGAGGATACGGAGCCTCCATGCCCAGTCCAGTTGGTGTGCACAAAATGACCGGGTTTGCTTAGCAACTCGTAAGTATGGGCACCAAAATAGTCACGTTGCGCCTGCGACAACAAATAAACACGAACTTCTTTACAATCAGCGGAATTACAACGCAAGCGGAAATGAGAGAGAATTTTGACGATTTCCTATCGCCATGGATGTACGAGAGTCCTTGTGGCATTAAATTTCTTTAGTTTTAACCACTGGAGTGTGTAGGGTTTGATGATTCTAACGTTTGATCTCAGTTATCGAACTTTTTACTAGCATTATTTTTCGTGTTTCTTTAATCAGTGAGTCTACTTGAGTGATCTTGTTCAAAATTGTATGTGTTTGTTGCTTGCGTTACAAAGTCGTAAAAATAAAATGCTATTAGCACAGAATTTAGCCTTTACCTGAATAAGATTGGCTGGAAGGCGGGCCGATCTGCAAACAGAATGAAAACATAAAAATATTTATCTGTGGATTTTCTTATTCTGTTCCTAAATGTTTATGCATTTCACTGATTTAAATCTAAGAGGAGTAACGTTTCATTTAGCAAGGGTGATCACTTAAGTTAACTTCACATCATCTTTATAATTCATAAGAATAGAAATTAAGTTACCTATAGCCATCGTAAAAGGCAAGTGCTGTGCTGAATGCTGGAGTAGGTATCCCAAGAGTCACAGCAGCAGCAACCACTTTTCGCCAAGAATCCTACAAAAATGAAAGAAATGCAATCAAGAAAACTAACCAAAGGAAAAACCACGTCACCTTGATCACATCTCTTTCCACACTTCATATATTCGAATTATAACATTCAAATACATCAAATTTGAAATTTGATTGTTCAAACATTTGTTCTAAGTCTTTATTAGAACGATGGCAACGTTTAAAATGGGAAAGAAATTCGTTAATGTGATGGTTTTGCTTAAGTAAGACCAAATGAGCTCTAAGACTGCTTTAAAATGCTGTCGCCAACTTCTCAACCAATCAGATGGAACTTTTTTCACTCTCGCTTTCATGCACTCAAGGCCGGTTACGAGTTTCAACGGAAAGATTTCATTGGCTCTTTCGAAAATGTCCTTCTTTCGGATTGGCTGTCAAAGGAATATTTAAAAACGAAGCTGTGCATGGCTTACCTGGCAATTGTGAATGGCATCTTTGAAGAAATCGTCTAACAACAGATTCTGAAGAGAAGGATTCTTGATAAATGCATCCTTGATGTTACCCAGGAAAACACTGCAAATAAACGAAAGAGAGAGAATTTGAAAAGGTTGTGAACAGTGACAAGGTAAAATGGGAGATTTCTTAGTACCACTAGTTGAGAAGGAAGTAACATCAACATGAACGATAAGCTTCTTTAATAGGTTTACCAGCCGATTGCACTTTAGAGAACGTGAAGCTCTACGATAATCTTACTCCGCAAATCCAACAACTCCTGGCGGATACAAAAAAAAAATCCAAATTCGTAATGGTTTCAGGTTTTGTTGGTGTAAGAGCTTTACCATCTATCTATGGCAAACCGAAGACTCCCGCCCCATCCAGTTCAAAACCTTTGACGACCTCGAAGGATTTGCTTGACAAGAGAGCCTTCCCCCACGCTAAGTACTCTGAAGGTTGTAACTGAATAATGTAATTTAATTGTTGTCTCTATGATGGCTGACGAGACACCTTTTCAATCTCTCCTCTCTTTTAATCACTTGAATGATAGTTTGCTCCTTATACTTTAAGTTCTCATCAGCTCTTTGTAATATTCCCTTTGCTCTGATGGGATACGATACTCAATCGAAATGCGCTCTAAGTAGTTATAACAAATCTTTTGCCAATGCCGAATGTTCAGAAAAAGACAAGGATATCAAAAGTAATCAATTTACCCGCAGAGACTCATAAACAAGAACACACCGCCGGATTTACCTTCTTATGATGCAGCCTCCCCTCCACATGAGAGCAATACCGCCATAATTCAATGTCCAATTAAACTCTTTGGCTGCCTCCCTCATCAACATGAAGCCCTGAGCATAGGACACAATCTTCGATGCATACAGAGCCTGTTCAATGGATTTAAATAAATTCATTACAACCAGAAATTAGATTATTTTTCACTTAAGTTGCTGAACCTTGCTAAGGTGTACTAAGTTTTGAGTGAATAAAATGTAAAGTGTGTGGTTGTGGCTGACTCTTGCGCAAAGGAAAGTATCTGCTTGTATTTGTATACCGTACATACAAAATATCAACTTCATGCCTCTTGTGTTGTTATTTCTGGCCGGGAGCTATCCTTCCATATCCTTCTCTTCAGGTCATGTTACTATTCTTTGAGTCACTTAACTCTTTGACTCTTAAGAGTGATTAGCATCTAATTTCTCCTTACAGTATTAGAGAATACTCAAACTTATCAGGTGGAAGTTTTTATCTTGATCTAATATCAAATTATTGTAACTTATTTAGGGGGAAATGTGTAGCAGCTAGAGGGAAGAATTGGCAATCAGATCTTGGGAATTAATGGGTTAAGCTTACACCTCAGAACAACCCATCTGTCTTTAAGCTGTGGTTCACTTGTTATTAATTTACCTTTCTGATATGTTCAATAAATTCCTTTTTATCTCCTGTATACTTTGAGGTAGCAGGTCCTTTGAGATGTGAACTGGCTTCAACACGCTCTGCCTGTAGCGAGGAGAGGCAGCGAGCAAACACAGACTCACCTATAGTACACACAGAGAAAACACTTCTTTAAAATAGGTGAAACACTGAATAAATTAAATTTGAAATAACTTATAATTACCAATGAGAGTGACTGGCATTCCATATTCTAAGGCTGAAATTGCTGTCCATTTGCCAGTTCCTTTCTGAATAAATAAAGAATTATTGTTAGTCACCATGATCAGATATTCTAGTCACGTATTCACATCTAATAGCTACAAAAGTACCAAAACAATATCACTTTACCTGGCCAGCAGAATCTCTAATTTTTTCAACCAGAGGGGAGCCGTCAGAATCCTTGTAGGCAAGAATGTCTTTGGTAATTTCAATCAAGAATGAGTCTAGCTCCCCCTTATTCCATTCCACAAAGACCTGTCATGCAAACAGCACATGTTAATTGTTGTGGCTTCATTGTGTGGTTTGTTTTCAAATAAATAGAAAATCTTTATCTATCTCTTCAACAGTTGTTGACTACTTATTCGTGAATCCTTGTGACTGACATCTAATTTCTCCTTACATTATCAACTCTGAATCACATATTGAGGTCACAAGATTAAGAGGAAATGATCACATACTGAAAAAGCTCTGGATTGTTAGTTTAAGAAATTCTTCTCATCGGTATGTTGGGAAATGTATGGAGACCAGTATGGAGAATATGAATACTGATATTATGGTGTAAAAGGTTGACATAAGGTGATGTACAAACCTTGCTCATTTCATCTGTTGACATGCCAAGGGCATTCTTCATGAGGTGATAGGCTTCACAGATCAGCTTCAGATTACAAAAAGCAAACAAAAAAGAATGAATAAATAATAGAAAGCTTTTAAATGTTGACAATAAGCAAATCAAAGGGGCAGAATAATGGATCAAGACATCCTAACCTTGAGAGAATATTGAAAGCTTCAAAAGGGTTTTGCAGACCACAGACTAAGTCAAGGTTACAAATAAAGCAAGTGTTCTATTACATGAAATACAACCAAACCCCAAAGTTGTATGTGGTTACTTGCAACACTTTTCCAACCATAATGGTTTCTACTGGAGGCAATTTCTTGACCTTTTAGAAAATTAGTTGCTCACTTAAGGGGGTCAATTGTTAAAAATTGTCACTCTGAGTGAATCAAGAGTAGAAACCAGAGCCCAACTAAATAGCTCCTGATAAAATATCAATGGGATATGGAGCAATATTGTGAAAAAAAAGTACACATGAGATAAAATACAAGCAATACAATTATGTTCATAAAAATACGAATCTATGCTATCCAAAATCTACACACCTAAATGACAAAGATAATAATTTTCACATACCTGCATATCTCCATATTCAATGCCATTGTGAACCATTTTGACAAAGTGACCAGCACCATCTCCTCCAACCTGAAAGAATGTAAACACACAAAAAAACATTTTTTTACCCCATTTTTTGGTGGGTTGATCAGACAAGTAATTCAATTAGTTATCTTACAGCTGTAGTGCCTTAGAGAACTTTTACATAGCCACATCTAAACACAAGGGGCTTGGAAAAAATCAGGACAATCCAACTGTTAAATAAAGTTAAGGTTTATGCAATATATAAATACAAAAACACATCAAGATAATATTGTATCATGTAACTCAAAAGCAGTAAAATCCAAATGTTTCCCTTACCCAGTCACAGCATGGCTCAGATCCAACTTTAGCAGCTATTGACTGAAAGATTGGTTTGATGTGTGCCCTAATGAACACAAAAGAAAACAGTAGACAGTTAATATTCTCAGGACAATATATCCAAACACACATATAGTCATCAGGTTGATCAGCTTTATGTGGCTTAGTAACAACCTTGGGCCATGGGAAGATGAGTTAAAATGCTGCATATCTTCACAAAATAACAAATTAAAATGTGCCATCACATTTATAGATCATAGTAATAATTACTGCTGCTAATACAATGTAA